CTACTTGTTTAAAACAAGAAATTCCATTACATAATCCGTTAAAACAACAAATTCCGTTAATTTTTCCGTTAAACCAACAAATTCCGTTAAATAGGTACTTTTTATATATAGAAAGATTTGTGTGTTAATTTATGTGTATAATCCTGAAAAGAAGGCAAAAAGTTAAACAAAATATTGCCTCGAAGCTGTGTTCAGATTACAAGAGTCCATCTAACTCAATTATAGAGATGGCAATGGGGCGGGTTCGGGGCGGGGCACCCCTCTCCACCTCACCCCGCCCCACCCCGTCCCACCTTAGAAGGGGTGGGACGGGTTCGGGCCGCGTACTTGCCTCGTTTCTTGCCCCATTTATTATTATTATTTTGTTTTCAAAAACTTCCTATGAACTATTTTTTGTTTTTATTTTATAATTAATTATTTTTTTTATATTTCACGGGGCGAGTTTAGGATAGGGCACCCTCTCCTCTCCCCTCCCCTCCTCACCCCAACAACCAGTCGAGGCGAGTTTTTTTCGCACCATTCGGGGCAAGGCGACGTCGGGACAAGACAGGGTGGGACGGGTTTTTTTGCCATCCCTACTCAATTATGTTCATTTTAAACAATGGTCTTGTTCAAACTTAAATAAAGAAAACAAAAGGTCCCATGACTCACGGCGCAAGACAACTATAATTGTATGGTTTATTCTAAAGCACTTGAATATTTACTAATTATTTTTATAAAAATCATATATTTCTCAATAAAATTATCTGTTCGTAATATGATCGAAGTGATGGATTATAATGTAACATGCTGCTTCAATAACTCGATATGAAAGACGAATTGCTCAACATTTCTAATTGGTTGATGGAAAAAATAGGTTTAGAGTGTGTTTGGTAGAGATTAAAATCGGATTAAAATTGAAAAACTAGCCGTTATTATTGACTTTTAATTACGATGCTTTCCATCATATTCTTACATTGAACCCATCTATTGCAACGTGAATTTAATAAAATTTAGTTCATCTAAAAGTTTAAATTATTAAAAAATAATGAATGTATTTGATACTATTCGCTAATCGCTCCATCCGATGGCGGAGCCAAGACAAAAAACTAGCGATGACCTAATCTAACTATGAGAAAAATTTTCAATCACGAAATATAATATTAAGCCCATGTTTGGTTGGAATTAGAATTCAAATTTTAATATAAGTCGAAGTCAACAATTGATTTTAACTACATGTTCATGGGATCTACAACTTTTAATTGTATATTTCATTAATTTTACTAAAAATCCGATCTTAATTCTTACCAAACGGGGGCTAAATATAAAAAATCATTTTTTTTTTCATATTGCAGTGGTGGCCTTGGGACTCTAGCCCCAACCCCCCCAAAAGCTCCACCGCACACGTGTTAAATATATTTTTTTTTAAATTCAAATACCTAATACATAAAAAATTTTAAAATACGTAATAGATTTGAATTCAAGACTTTAGTATGATCTTATTAAATTTAAAAGTTTAAATTCTTGTATATATATAAGAAAAAAATGCTATAACTTAAACTCCGTACAAAAAATAATATAACGGACAAAATTATATATAACTGAGGAAAATCACGCTCTATAATCAAATATTTATAATTTGTTTATTCTTTTAAGCGAATTTTTTTTCGACTCAATAAAATGAAGCACATAAATATAAATTTGCTAAATACACTCAATATGCCGGTCATATTGAAATTTATATTTTTACAATGCTATACATTAACAATAAAAAAATTAAATTAAATTTCTCTAAATATAAAGTAGGGTCTCTTAATTTTTAATAAAAAAATTGGAAAAATACAGTAATCCCTCTCCTACTCCAAGTTTCTTCAACAACTACATTCAATCGACGGCCTCTGTAGTTTCTCACGTGAAAATTCAATCGTACCCATTAAATAATTACTCATATTAATCATTTACTTTTTTTTAAATCTTAACCAATACCTTTTCTTTATTGATTTTCTAATCTTAAACAATAATAACCACACATTAATTCAAACCGCGTGCAGAGTGAATACGTGTCAATAAATATATCTTATGATAAACATGCTAATTACATAAATTATTATAGTTGAAATGCTCGGAGATGAAAGATGACTCTTCAATTTTTTTTATTTTTATTATTATTTTATAAATTACAAACTATTAGAATTGCCATTTCTGGTTCCATGATTGTGTGAGAAGTAAAAATCAAATTTTAACATGATGATTTCGACTAAGTTGATAAGAGTATGCATGAGTCACCTTCTTCTAAACATTCGTCGTATAAAATTTTTTATGACAATTTTTAGAAAACGAAAATGACAATTAATAAAGAAAATGGGTCATATCGAACATGTGTGTTTATATGTGAAATATTGGTATTAAATTAAAGATTATCAATTTTGGTTAAAACCGTTTAAAGTGATCTAATAAGGTTTCAGTATTTTGGGGTTTGAAGTATATCATTAAAATATGAGCATTTATGTGTAGAGATTAAGCATGTTCTTAATTTCATAATGGGCTGAATTAGGTTAATGGACCGTTAGTATATATATATTGTTATGATCCCCGAATCACACGTGAATTGTGCATTCTGTTCTGATTCTCATCATCAGAGAGAAATAAAGGACTACGTGTTGATCTGGAAGACTAAAATCACATGACTAAATCATTGCATTAACTATATTTGATTCAAGTACGCTTCCGCTTCGATTTACATATTCTTGATGATCCATCATGAACGATCATTATGACGGTAGAGTTTTCCTAACAGCCTTTTCTTGTTCCATGATTGTGCGAGAACTAAAAATCATATTGTAACATGATGATTTTGACTAAGTTGATAAGAGTATGCATGAGTCACCTTCTTCTAATCCTTCGTCGTATAAAATTTTTTATGACAATTTTTAGAAAACGAAAATGATAATTAATAAAGATTTTGTTTATACGAATGGACATGTGATATTATTCTACATATGCAATAAGTTATTGCAACTCCACATATAAATCTTAGAATGATTAAGGTAACTTTCATTTTACAATAGGTGTTT